GGTGCGCATGTGTGGGCGTGAGTGAGTGCGTGCGTGCATGCTTGTGGGCGTGCTATGTGAGTGAGTGGGTGGGTGCGCATGTGTGGGCGTGAGTGCGTGCGTGCATGCTTGTGGGCGTGCGTGCGTGCGTGTGAGTGGGTGCGCATGCGTGCTTGTGGGTGTGCTATGTGAGTGAGTGGGTGGGTGTGCATGCGTGGGTGTGCGTGCGTGCGTGCTTGTGGGTGTGCGTGCGTGCATTTCCAACTATGGACCTCTGCTGATAATTCATCGCATACGATTAGATTTCATAACATACGATACGTTATTAATATTATTATCATTAATTAGCTTGCAACGAGCGACCACATTATTAATCAACCCACAGGCATGGGTCACTAGGTTGCGTGATATTATTGACATTGTTGGTGTTGTCTTGTTTGCATGCATTCGTGCGAGTGCGCTTGTGTACTTGAGCGCACCCATGAGTGACTTTTGTTTCTCCTCGTCGTTTATGTTGACATTGTTTTCCCGCCCGCAGCTTGCAGCAGTGTCACGAAGGCGGAGGAGCAGGAGCGGCGTGTGACCAGGAGCAGCCAGCGGATACAGCAAGCGGCCGCCGCCAACGCGCAAGCCGCCGCCGTCGTCGCCATGGACAACAACAGCGCTAACGACAGCGTGTGCACGCGCTCGCAGAAGTCCGAGCAGGCGTCCGTCGCCGACGACACGGAGAGCACGGAGAACATGCATCCACGCAAACGCAAGATGCGGCAGCGCGAGCGCGAGCAGCGCGAGAAGGAGGCCGCCGCCGCCCCGGCAGCGCCCCCTGTCCCCGACGCAGACGCCGACGCTGAGCCGGAGGGGGAGCCACCGCTGCAGCCGCAGGTTCACATATTCCACCGGCAGGAGGAGAAGCAGCCGAACTGCTACCAGCTGTACCTCAACATCCGCAAGAAGGTCGAGCAGCGGCGCGCCGTGTTGATGATGACGACGGTGACGCTGAGTCTGCCGCACGGCTTCAAGGACTATCTCATGAACAAGTGCTCGTACATCCTGCAGGGAAACGCCGCTAGTCGCATCTCTGTGCCGATGATGACTCCGCCGCAGTCTCTCACGCCGCCCATGCGAGAACTCTTCGTCGAACTAGAGAAGCAGCGTTACCGGCTGCGGCTGCAGCACGTGATCGAGAAAGAGAAACTGATGCTAGCGGTGGAGCAGGAGATATTGAGGGTGCACTCGCGCGCCGCGCGCGCCGTCGCGAACCAGACCATCCCGTTCTCGCTCTGCAGCATCCTCAAGGACGAGGAAGTGTACAACTTCTTCGAGGAGGAACACATGATGAAGCTGATATCGTCTCAGGGAGACCTTGAAGGGGACGGCAACCTGAGGAATCGCTACAACGGCCGGCAGCTGCGGTCGTGGTTGAACAGCGTCGACGAGAAATACGCAAAGGTCAAGGAGAACCTTCTGCTGCGGCACCACAACGAGGCGGAATCGCTGCACGCCGTCCAGCAGATGGAGTGGCTGTCGAAGCTACGCGACACCGGATTGGACGACAGCAAGAACTCGTCGGACGTGACGCAGCAGGTGGACCAGCTGCACGTTCCCATGGTGCACGTAAGCGATGACTTTGATCTCCTCCCAGCGTGAGCGAGCGAGTGAGAGAGAGATAGAGGGAGAGCGGCGGTTGCAGCGCGCGCGTGAGAGAGAGAGCAGCCGCCAGCATCAGAGTGTGACTTTGATGATATCTCCTCCCCACGTGAGTGAGAGAGAGAGAGATAGAGCAGCCACCAGCGTCAGAGTGTGACTTTGATGATATCTCCTCCCCACGTGAGTGAGAGAGAGAGAGATAGAGCACCCGCCAGCGTCAGAGTGTGACTTTGACTTGATATCTTCCCCGCGTGAGAGAGACCGGCGGGGTGCCACGTGCCCAAAGGGCAGAGCTGCCAACTTCAACATGTGGCTGACTTTTATATCTTTGAGAAAGACAGCGCAGCGCACGCATGAGAGAGAGACAGCGGCACGTGGGACTAGGCGCGTGCGAGCAACGGCTGCGAGCATTGTCACTAAATTCCTGCGCCGAGTTAGGCGGCGCATGCGATTCCGTGTGGCAGCGTGCGAAGTGCTTCTCGAGGATTTTTTCGCACGAGAAGAATTTTCCTGTCCGCGAGTGTCTGACAGTAGTAGGGTGTGAGCTACCAGCACGTGCGGGCCGCTACGACTCACCTCGCGCTGGAGTGACCGGCGTGTGCGGGCCGCTACGACTCACCTCGCGCTGGAGTGACCGGCGTGTGCGGGCCGCTACGACTCACCTCGCGCTGGAGTGACCGGCGTGTGCAGGCCGCTGCCACCTCCACCGGTCTACCTTACCTATCCGCTACAACACTAAGCCCTACCCTTGACATCTCGCTTTCTACCCTCCACCTCTATCCTACCTATCCTACCACCACCTACACCTACCCCGACATCTCTCCTTTCTACCCTCCCAAAAAACCTTTTTCAGCTAAAAACCTGGCCTATCCTACGCTCACACCTACCTGACATGCTCGGCCTGTTGCTAGCCCTCCCAACCCCTTATCCTACCTATCCTACACACCTAAACCTACCGTACCATCTCTCCTTTCTACCCTCCAACCTCTCCTACCTATCCTACACACTAAAACCCTACCTACATCCTTCCCTGTTGGCTACCCTCCCACCTCTACCTACCTTCAGCCTACACCGACTTAAACCTAGCCTACTATCTCTCCTTTGCTACCCCTCGTTCCACTCTCTACCTGCCTATCCTACGCCGACGGGCTAAGAAAGCGCTACCCCCGTGACAATCTCTCCCTTCTCTATCCCCTCCACCTCTATCCCTACCTATCCTACACACTAGACCTATCCCTACATCTCTCCCTTTTTCTACCCTTTTCCACCCTCTATGCCTTACCCTATCCGTAAACCAGCAGCTAACCTCACCGTACGAGCTCGTCCTTTCTACGCCTCCACGCGTGCATAGCCGTACGCTATCCTACACACGTAACCCGCCTACTGACATCTCGCTCCTTTTCTACCCTTCCTTGACCCTCGGTTTCTAGCCTAACGCTCATCCGTACCCAGCCCCACTAAGCCTACCCGGTAGCATCGGTGCTCCTGTTTTTTCTACCCTCCACCTGCTACCCTAACCTATCCTACCACATAACCTTACCTTACATGCTACGACCGGCTTAACCTGACCTACACTCTCTCCTTTGCTCGACCCTCCACCTTCTGACGCTTAGCCTATCCCTACACACTAAGGCCTACGCTAGCATCTCTGCCTTCCTCTACCCCGGGTTCCACCTCTATCCCTAACCTTATCCTACACACTGGGATCAAAGCGGTGCTGACCTTACCATCTGCGCTTGTCTCACCCCTCCACCTCTACCCTACCTATGCCTACACCACTTAACCTACCTACATCTTCTCCGTGGTCTACCTCCACCTCTACCTTACTAGTCCTACACCACTCACCTCCCTGCTCACTCGACCCTCCCCGACAAGCAACGGCTTGAAGGACGTGTCCGGTAGCTACGCGAGTCGAGCGGTGTTTCTCGTTCGACGGCCTGTATCCGAACTGGAACTTCACCATCCGCGCGGTCGAGTCGCGAGGCGCCAGTTGCTTTCTCGCCTATGGCCGTCTGTTTCGCTGCGTTTTGCTTGCTGCTGCGTGCACCGCGCCCGCCGGCGCACTCGGCCCGCCTCTGCCCGAACCGTTAGCAGGCTTGCCTACTACTAGTCGTTGCGGCCATGATGGGCCTCCCAGGAAGCTGCACGCTGCCCTCCCCCAACGGTATCGGTTACGACAAGCAGCTCCCACCGGCTTTTACACGGTACCTCTCTCCGGCCCGGCCAAAAGCCCCGCCGCTTGCCTTGCTGTTGGCGGAGCGAGGCCGCTCGTGGAAGTCCGACGGATTGGGGACTCGCCGTCTGAAAAAGGGATTCGTGATTACCCTAACATAAACGCCGCGCTCTATTTGCGCTGTTCCTCGTGCTCTCTACTCCTCACGGCGCGCCCGGCCCCGTCTCGCCCAAGCGGCTCTTCTTGCACGGATAAGTCGAAGCCACTCGGCGCGGCCGGGTGGTGTGAAACTGCCGTACGCTACGCACGCGTGTTACTCACAGGACGAACAGGCGGAACGTCGTGCCGGAACGCCGACGGCACCATTCCCGCGACGCCTACTCGGTTTATTACCTGTTTTACTCGTCGTTCGCATGGCCGCCACCATACCGGCATTCCGCGCCCACTGCGCCGCGCTTAAGTTAGCTGTAACTAGCGCGTCGGGCGGCGGCGCTCGCGGCCCTCGCCTTTACGTGAATGTGACTCCCACGGGCATGCTCCGTTACTGGAACTCACCCTACAAAGGGGGCGTAGCTACCACTCACACGCAGCTTGACTACGCAGCTTGGCGCTTACCCACTCCGCGATTTGTCAACCAACACGCTCTGTTTCTTGTACTCTGGCCAGACGGAGGCAAGCCGCCGGCCCGAGGAGAACGAGCAGCGAGCGGCATGAATGCGAAGCCGAGGGAGAGAGGAGAGAGATCGAGGAGAGGAATTGATCGGGCAAGCCGAGAGAGAGACGGGCGCGGGAGGGGACGAAGTGGGCGCAAGCGTTTGGGGCCAGCATCAAGACACAGGGCCACGGGCGCGCCGCTAGCGAGCTCGGGAGCGCCGCGAGGCAGACCGCGTGAGTTCATCATCAGTGACTCGGGGATGTCGGCGGCGTCCACTGAGGTTAAGTCTACTGGCGCTTCCGGACCGCACTGCCGGGCGCGACGCCGGGAAATGGCGGGGAGAGCAGCCCGAGTGCCCCCGGCGCAAAGCCAGCGCGCACTGCGGGCCGAAGCCCGCCAGCCGCGGCCCGTCCCCCGACACAGCGATCCGAGCGGTCAACCAAGAACGACTGTGTTACGACGGTAAGCAACGCTCAATCTGCAATTGTAATTACGCGCGCGCGCCCGCCTCGTTGGAGAGGGAAATAAGAAGGTGAAATAGATGTTCAGATAGGTGTGCTGCGAGCAGAAGCATGAGGTCAGAAAGAGGGAGAGGGGGACAAAAATCGGGCCATCATTGGCTGGCAGAGTTGACCCTCCGGTGCATCATCGTAACTTGACTCAGGGATATACACTTTCGCGAGGAGGACGCAGAGACGAGACACCCCGGTGGGAGCGCCAGGGGATAACATTGACCAGGCCCGACAGCCCAGCCTACATAAATCCCAACGAATGGTTGAGGACCTGAGAGGTTGAACGCCATTATTTTGCATGTCATAGGGCTGAAAGAGACGGCAGGGAAGAGGGCAAGCGAGGGGAATGGCGATAGAGGAGAACGGAGGGGAAGAGCATATGCGTGGGGGTACGGGGGTACAACCCATGATTGTAAGTAATTGATCCAAGCCTTGCCAGCATTTATTGCGCGGTGCGTACTGAATGGAAGTAAAATAATGAAAGAGAAAGAGCAATATCAACATGGAAAGCAGGAACACCGGGCGGAGAGGAGCAGAAGTGAAGGGTCACGCCGAAAGATGGCGGGAGACGAGAGGGCAGAGGAAGAGAGATCTACGCCGGAGAAGACGGCAGAAAGAGGAGTGAGGAGTCCGAGAGGGGGAGAGACAGAAAAGAGCAACGCCCAGGACCATGAGGAGCAACAGAGAAAGAGAGAGACAAGTCAATGTCCCAGCTCAGTTCCCAGCGTCAGTCAGACCCTAAATGTCGGGGGTGAACTATGATCCATAGAAAATAACAGCCCACGGTTTTCCAAACTCGATGTTGCGGGTAGGTAACAATGCGCGTGTTTCCGCCCTACACAGCTATCAGATTCCAGTTACGAGTCAATCGTACATTGACAATAAGTAGTTGTTGAACATATTCTCGATTTTTTCTTTAGCAAGGGCCTTTACTGTGCGCGCGCAGGGCCGTCCACCCGAGGACCTTCTATCGCGAATACCGGCATATCTAACTTCACCCGAACGCTTAGCTACAGTCAGTGGCTGCACTCCGGCGGCAGATTGGGGGGTGGGCCTGCAGGGTGGGATCTTGGGTGCCGGCCTAGCTACTAGACCCCTCTGTTGGACCTGAACCCAATAGTTTAACGTATGTCGCGGCCCGCAGTGTTACAAAAATAACAAGTTACCTGATGCATACGCCGTTAACATTGATACAAGTGCGCCCCGCGAGCCGACAGCCGCTGCCATCTCACGTCTGACTGCGCCAGTAGACTCATGTGTCGTCGGTCATACCCAGTTTTTAGCTGCTGGCATGTTTCGTTCTAGGCTCAAGGACCCTGTTAGCTCCCAAATGTGTTCCACCGATACGGCCCGCGACCAACAGTGGAGTCCCACAGGGCGGATGGTACCCCTTCAGGGAACCTTCTTCAGGAAGGAATGATTCGATTTCTTGATTGAGACTATCGCTTTCATATGAATGGGGTGCCCACGACAGATGGCGTCGAGGCCTAATGGACGTATTAAGGTGTCTTACAGATAAAGATGGAAGCTCCCATCGGTAGCATTAGTAGCCAACAACATAAGTGTGCCCAAGACAGAATAGGTAAGCACTCACTTCCATGTGTTAGCTCTGAGTCGGCTATATATATTGTCGGGCTACTAGGCAACTGAAATAGAGCACCAGGCATGCCAACGCGGCTTGGTGAACCTGAATTAACGCAGCCAAAACAGCGACCACAGTCGTATCTGTAGCGGGTGCTAACGATATAGCCACATGCCGGATTATCGCGCGAATATTGCCAATATATTGTAAAACTCGGACGTACTATGCCGCCCTCAGAGAATACCAGACTATACCTGGCGGATACATCGATATTTTACGTGACGAAATACGGTGGGTCGATTAACCAAAGAAATACAATTCACTTGGACACTTGCCTTTATGGTGCTTATATTGTTGGGAATGAGACTGGCGTAGCTCGAAAATGACCAGGAGCGCTAGGGCGGTGTGTATCATATATTACGAAAAACCCGCCACAATGGGTCGTCTCTCACACCTCCCGCGGCAAGCATTACCAAGCTATACAAATAAACTGGTCAAAGCCGGCGACCACTGCGTGGCGGAGCAGGCGTGGCCGGCAGGGAGGGTACTAACTTCCGCCGCGGCACAAGGGGAGTTACCAGAACTGTTCGGCCCGAACGTTGGCTGAGCGGAGGTGGGCGCCCAACGGCGACCAACGCAAACGCCTAGGGGGGTCCGGTAGTAATAATGAGCCTTCATCTTGCCTTACGACAAAATGATATCATTGATTCGGAGGTGGCCCAATTAATTCTATACATCGTATGTCGGCATACTACCCGCTGGCGCA